AGAGAGAAGCAGGGAGAGATGTGTGTCCTATAGCACCCAGGACAACCCCCCGCCCCCCAGCAAAGAATGGTCCAGTCCAAAATGTCAATAGTACTGAGATGGTTTGAGGGGAGGAGAGGAAGAAAGCAAATGCATAAATGCCCTATAAGTAATAAATGGTTGACTAAATAAAAGGAGAAATCTAGGGAGAAACCAAAATGCATGGCAGAAGCTTTATGTAGGAGAGAACAGAGAAGTCACCAAGTGGGGAGGATGTGTGGTCAAATGGTTAGAGCTGGGTGAGTGGCGTTTCAGGGGCTGGCCTCAGTACAAACCAGGGTTGAGGGGTGCTGTACTTGGATGCTGAACGCCCCCCAAAGGGTTCATGGGTTAAAGATTTGGTCCTCAGGGAGGTGGTGGAAGCTTGTGAAAAGTCACGAGGCCCTCAAACAAGACACTGGCCCCTCCTTCTTTCTCACTTTCTGGCTCTAAAGAGAGCGGTTTGCTGTACCAGGCGCTCCCTGCCGTCAGCATCTGGCACCCCCAACAGAAACCCGAAGCAGAGGCTCTGCTGGATCTTGAACAGGAACCTCTGAAACCATGGGCCAAAGGAAACCTTCTTCTTTTTATGAGTCAACTGTCTTGGTTATTTCATTATAATATCAGAGCTCTGACTAACACAGGGGAATTGATGCCACTCTCCCTTGTCCTTCATGGTTTGCTTGGGAAGATGCCACCCCCAGTTAGGGACCTGTATTAGTCAACTTTTTTACCCCTGTGACCAAAATACCTGTCATAAACAACTTGGAGGAGGAAAGGTTTATTATTTTGGCTCCTGGTGTCAGAGGTTGTCCATGGTTGGTTGGCTCCAAGACAGAAACCTCACGGCGGAAGGGCTTAGCCTTGAGCCGTTGGGAAGCAGACAGGGAGTGAAGCAGATAAAGTCCCCAAGAATACACCTCTACTGGGCTACTGCCTCCAGCCAAGCCCTGCCTCCTCTCAGTAGCCCATTCAAATTATCAATCTGTGAATGGATTAACCCACTGACGAGGTTGCAGTCCCCATGATCCAATCACTTCCCCAAAGCCTCCCCTCCGAACATCGCTGCATTGAGGGCCAAGTTTTGAACACTGGTGCTCTGGGGGCAGATTCCAGATCCAAACCATAACAGGACTCATGGAATTTTAGCAATGCAGCCAGGTCGGCAGTGGTGCAGGTTGGTGTCACATGACTGCCTTAGGGTAACACTGGATGTCCAAAGTCTCTGGTGATCATCACCAACTGAGCTCTAACATGGGAGCTCCGTCATGACTTGTTTTCCTACAAGACCTTTGCTCCTTAATGCAACAACAACAAGCCTGTTATGTCCAGCTCTAGAGGAAGATGTCACGTAAAGCAAGATTCAAAGATAGAAACAGAGAGAGAATGTCTTCACAGCTTTAAGGATGGGAAAAAAAAATTTTCTAAAACAGAACACAAAAAGTCAATGAATTGGATTTTATCAAAATTGAAAGTCTGGGGCTGGGGTTGTGACTTAGCAGGAGAGCACTTGCCTAGCACGTGTGAGTCCCTGGGTTCGACCCTCAGCACCACATAAAAATAAATGCATTGTGTCCAACTACAACTAAAAAATAAATATTTTAAAAAAGAATTAAAAGTCTCTCTCCATCAAAAGGAGCCATTTGAAAAATGAAAAGGGGACACAGGATACAGCTCATATGCATGAGGTTCTGGGTTCAACCCCAGCACCAGAAAATGCTATTAAAAATACTATTACTACTAATAAAAAATGAAAAGGCAAGCTCAAACTCAGAGATGATCTATATACCTGCAATGTGTATATTTGCCAAAGTATTTGTTTCCAGAATAGATGAAGAACTACAAATCAATCAGAAAAAGAAAACTGATTAAAAATGGTCAAAAGACCTGAAAAGACATTCACTAAAGAGGATATGCAGGTAGCCAAATACCTATGGCAAAGGTGCTCAGCACAACCACTCATCAGGAAAATGCCAATCAAGACCACAGTGGGACACTACTACCCACCTACTAGAGAGGCTGAAGTGAGAGGACTGCAGGACCAGACGTGGCTGAGGCTGTGGAACAATCGAAACGGCCGTGTCTCACTGTGGGTGTAGGGAAGTGGTACAATCATTTAGGAAAACACTTTGGCAGGTTCTGTTTAAGCTACAGATAATCTACTCTACAACCCAGTAATTCTACTCCCGGGTAAATATTCCCCATGCCAAGAAAAAGATATATCCAACTAGCTACTTGGGAGGCTGAGGTAGGAGGGATGGAAGTTTGAGACCAGCGTTGGTAGAATTAGTGAGACCCTGTCTCAAAACAAAATTAAAAAAAAAAAAAATTAAAAAGGGCCGGGGGTGTAGCTCAATAGTAGGGACGCTTGTGTTTAATCCACAGAACTTGCCCGCAATGTGCACAAAAGATAAATATAAGAATATTCAAGGTGTTTCTACACACTTGCAACACCTCAAATTCCCATCAATGTAAGGCCAGAAAAAAAATGGTGGCATGTTCTTATATGAGAATACTCACAATGATGGAAAGATTATGCATTCTCTGATTCCACAAATGCAAAGTTCAAGAAGAGACTAATCTAACCTATGATGAGTTAGACCCTGGTAATGTCTGGTTGGGATATGGACTGGGCAGGTGCATGAGGGAACATTTTGGGGTGCTGTAAGTTCCACTGTCCCCTTTTTACAGAGCCGGTGTTGGTTATATGAATGCATGTATGTACATGATGGTCAAGCTGTCCATTAAGATGGGTCCCTTGGGCCGGGGATGTGGCTCAAGCGGTAGCTCCCTCGCCTGGCATGCGTGTGGCCCAGGTTCGATCCTCAACACCACATACAAACAAGATGTTGTGCCGAAAACTAAAAAATAAATATTAAAAAATTCTCTCTCTCTCTCTTTAAAAAAAAAAAAAGATGGGTCCCTTTATGTGATTTACTGAATGTATATGATACGTCTATTTAAGAAAAAGTGAAAAGAAATGCAGATGATTATGTCCAAGGGAAGCAATAACAACAATTATTTACTGAACACTCGATAGATATCAACTTGCTTTATTTCCCTTAATCCCATACAAAGCATCTGTCAAACAGATGTTTTCTCATTTTACAGATAAAGAAACTGAGGCTTAGCTATGTTAAATAACTCGTGTGAATCTCATCCCTGGTGAGTATAGGAGCCAGGACTCGAATGCCACATTCTGCACTGTTGCCGCTTGGCTTGGGAACTTGAGGGTGATTCTTGGTTTTCTGCTTTGCCGACAACTTCCTTAAACATCAGGTGTTGGAGAGTCCATTCTTTAAAGAGAACTTCATCACGGGTCCTGGTATTCCGGGAGCCTAAAATCCCCCTAATTCTTTAAAAAAATGGACTGGGGAACCCAATCTCTTAATGCACCCTTTCCATAAATTTGTTCCAGTGGAAAAAGATCCACAGCTTCCTACCCACGCTGTTCATCCCAACCATTCTGTTAAAAATTCTCTGAGAAAGAAAGGGGGTGGGCTATAGCGATCAATATTGTGAGCCACATTTAAGTTCCAGTTCTCCTTTTAAACTGTGAGGCTCCTGAACAGTTATTTAACTTCGCAAAGCCTTTGTGCCTGGTCTGCATAAAGGAGACAGTGGCATTTACCTTGCAGTCTCATTGTGGGGATTAAAAGAGGCCACCCTTAGGAAGTGCTCAGTTCAGCAACAGGTTTATAGCAAGTGCTCAGTAGAGAGAAGGGTAGAGATATCACAGTTTTTGCTTCATTGGTGGCCCGCTCCTTCCAAGGCTCTTACAGAGGCTTAACACCTCCCCTCTATGTGTTAGTGTGTTTGAGTTACTATAACAAAATGCTTGAGGCTTAATTAGCTCACTGTTAGCTCTGGAGGCTCAAGGACATGGCACCAGCAGCTCTGCTCTGGAGAAGACCTCTTGGCATCCCACTCACCACATCCAAACCACAGCACCCTCTTGACAATCAACACACATTTTTTTATTATATTAATTAATTTGAAATTTAATTGGAATAAAAACTGTGTGAATAATTTCTCCACAAAGGGTGCATATGCTGACAGAATGGGGCAGAATCTCAGTGTTTGGGTGGGTCATTTTGAATTAGATGGCCACACAAAATGGGTAGAGAATCGGAAGGGTCCTTCCAAGTGGAGGGCCCGAGGAGAGAGAATCCTAGAGAGCAGAGATGGAGCTTGGGAATAGTTAGCAGGCTATTTTGATGGGTGCCTAAGATGCATTAGGAATTAGTGGAAGATAAAGTTGGAAAGGAAGACTGGCTCCAGATGAGGCCTCCCCTAAGGTGCTCATGGGAGGTGAGGGACTGGCCAGTGTGGGTCCCAGGGGTGGTGACCTGCGCCTGACTCAGGCTGGAGCAGGTAGGCTCAGGGGGAAGGGGAGGGTGTGATTGATGAGAGATGAGGGACTCCTGAAGTTTTGTATGGGTTTAGGAAGCCTAAAGAGGAAAGGGAAGAGAGAAAGTCAGTTTGGAGTTGATAACAGAAGGGATTACTTGTTCCTTATCTATTTAATTTTTTTTTCTGCGATGCTGGGGGTGGAACGCAGGCCTTGCAAGTGCCAGGTAAGTTGCTCTACATCTCCGGCTCCTAAAGAAGATTTCTTCATGGCTGAGGCTCAGGAGGGTGGATCTCTTCCTGGTTCCTCACCTTCATTTTCTATTTGGATGTTCTTGAGAACACACTGTCCTCTTCTGGCCTCGGACTTGAACAGGGGCACCCAAAGGACAGGCCCTGGCTTTCCACAAAGCTTCCTTTCTGCCCTCGCCAGCTGCGGGGAAAACCAGGCAGGGGGAGGCACGTGCAGACCCCAACAGAACCAAGAGCAGGAGCTTCCAGATCCTTCTCCAAATGCAAGAGTTTGTTTCGACGCTCTACCAAAGGGCGAGGGTCCTGTGCAAAGCGTCCTGGTTGTACGGAGACATGCAAATAATGTTTTGAATAAAAATCTCTTTGTTGTTGTTTTACAGGGCTGTAGCCATGGCCAGGAAGAAAACCGCCCCCTCTGAAGGTTGTTTTTGTGGCTGTTCTTTGGAGCATTGTTCTAAAAATGGGAAATTGCATATTGCGGTGCCAGAGGAAACAAACACCTGCAGCTAAAGGGCTACCTTCCATGAGGTGGCTTTTCAGAGCACGCATGATTATAGCCCCAGCCTCCTCGGTTGGAGGCTGAGCAGAGACTCTATCGGTGCCCATCTTTCTTTTCTTTTCTCTTTTCTTTCTTTCTTTCTTTCTCTCTCTCTTTCTTTCTTCCACTTTTTCTTTTTTTTTTTTCTCTCTCTCCCCCCCCTCCCCTGCCTTTCTCCACCCTTCTTTCTTCTCCCTCCCTCCCTCCCTTTCTTTCTTTTTAGTACCGGGGATTGAACCCTGAGTGCTTTACCACTGATCCACACCTCCAGCCCTTTTTGTTTTTTATTTTGAGACAGGGTCTCACCAACTTGCCCAGGTTGGTTTTGAATTTGTGATCCTCCTGCCTCAGCCTCCCTCAGAAGTAGCTGGGCTCACAGGCGTGAGCCACTGTGCTTGGTTATTGGTGCTTCCCTTGCAAGGGTGTGGGTGTGGGCTTATGTTTGCAACTAGGGTGGGCTTGGGCAGCTAGCGGGTGCAGGTGATTATCCACTTATCCACCCAATAAACGTTTATCAAGCATCGATTCTGTGTCATCCCTGGTGGGTTTTGCTCTGCTCCTTTCCTGGGTGGTTGAGTCACCGGGAGGGGGGGGATGCAGGCAGGCAGCTTTGCCGTCACTTCTTTATTCTATTTGGTTTTTCAGAGTCAGAGCATGATTACTGCCTCTGCCTCTCACTCTGAGGAGCCAGAGAGAACCTCAGCACATTCCCTCTTTCTTTTCTTTCTCCCTCTTTCTCTTCCCCTTACCCCTCTCTCTTTCTCTTTGATTAGTCTAAAAAAGTAGAAATGTAATTCTTAACATGAGGATCAATGCATTTCTTCAGACCCATGATTTTTCCATGTGCCTTGTCACCCACGGGGAGGACGGTCTGAAATTCTTGTTCTTTGGCAGTAGACATTAAGCGATAACTTTTGGGTTCTCTGGTTAATAATTAACATTTATCAACACTGATATAATTGCAAAATATTCAGGCCTTGAAACTGATGAAGCGTGAAATGAATGCATTTCAGATGGATTTGTGGTTTAAGAAGAATCTGGTTTTGTAAGCTGATTCCATCATCATTCACAACCAAGAAAGATAGTGACGAAGGGACCAATGGATTTCAAACTTTTGGGAATTTTTAATTACAACTTCCTGCCCATGTTATGCATGAATTCCTCAAATGAATCGGATGAGAATAGTGGATGTGTGTGGGGGGGTCTTCTTTGGGGGCCAAGGTTTTCTCTCTGGGACTACTTGGTTATTGATGTGAACTTGCCTAGAAGCAGAGAGAACTTGCCTAGAAGGCATGGAGGTGTGAACAGTGTTAATTTGGAATAAAAAAGAGTCTCGAGTTTTGTAACTGAATTTACAGTCTTATTTTCTACATTGGTTTCAAATTCTCACTAGAGGCTCAAAAGCAGGACCCTGTGCTGCAGATTCACATCCAAGTGATTTATTTATTTATTTGTTTGTTACCTGGAGTCTCTGATTTTTCTGCAATGAGTGGCAAGGTAACAAAAATGTGGTTCATAACTTCCTGGGGCTCATGTTCTAGAGAGGGGAATAAATATAAGCACATATGCCACAGTGAGATCAATGCACGACAGAGTGCAGGCTAGGAGCCAGGGGGCCCAGAGGCAGAGGGAGCCCCAGATCCTCAGGGCACGAGGAGTGGAGTGTAGAAAGTGAGGAGGAGCCCAAGCACTGAATCTTGAGAGAATCTTTAGGTGTCCAGATTTAGCAAATGGTTTTTTAAAAATGCAGGATGACTTGTTAAATGGATTTTTTTTTTTTTTTTTTTTTTTTTTTGGTAGAGGTATGTCCTGCGTAGAGCTTGGGTCATGAAGGATGGATGTGGTTCTTCAGGGGACTTTGGGAAGGGCAGGCACTTCAATCAAAGGAGCTGTTTGTGCAAAGGCATGGAGGTGTGAACAGTGTTGATTTGTTGTCTGTTTCAAATGCTCACGTGTGGGCTTCACTGTGGACTGACTTGGAGGGCAACCTTATTTCTGAACTTGTCCACCACTGCATCCCTGAACCCTCGGGCTGGTGGAGGAGCTGCAGGATTTGAGGCGGAGCAGGAAGCAGGGCTGTCCCTGGGAGCCCCATGAGCTGGGTGAGGAGTATGGACTTCTTCCACAAGAAACTGGTAGCAGGGAAGGATTTTAAACAACAGCGTGAAAGTACTGTTTGATTTTTGGCAATTGTGGGAAGAGAATTCTGCAAAGGGGCAAGACCGAAATCTTCAGGACCCTTTAGAAGGCAGATTAGTGGCCCCTCAAAGATGTCCACATCCTTATCCCCAGAACCTGTGACTATGTTAGGTTACATGGCAAAGAGAAATTAAGGCTCTTGATGGAACTAAGGTTGCTGATCAGCTACCTTGAAATGGGAAAATCAAGGGGCTGGGGATATAGCTCAGTTGGTAGAGTGCTTGCCTCACATGCATAAGGCCTGGGTTCAATCCTCAACACCACACACACACAAAAAAAAAAAAAAAAAAAAAAAGAAAGAAAGAAATGGGGAGATCATTCGGGCTTGCTGGAGTGGACCCAGGGTAATTCCCCGGGACCTTGAAAGTGGAAGAGCAGACAGAAGAGGAAGTCAGCATCAGAGACTTGAAGAAGCTGTATTAAGCTGGGTGTGGTGGTGCATGCCTTAATCCCAAGCAACTCAGGAGACTGAGGCACGAGAATTGCAAGTTCAAGTCTAGCCTCAGCAACTTAGTAAAACCCTCACTACTGTCCTGGGGCTGACAGGGAACCTGCTTCTGCCACAGAAGCCTAAGGGGGAATCCCAAAGGAAGAAGCTTGGGAGTTGCGTGTGTTGTGGTTGCACAGAACAGTGCTGAGCCATTGGTACAAACCTTCAGATATTTTATGTATCAACTAGATTTGTGTGGTACATTGGGAATCCATTCATTTGATGGGGGAACAAATCTGAATTCCCAACCTGGTTTATCAGTCCTGAAGCTGCCAACCATGCTTGCTAAGCTGACTCTATTTTCAGATTTTTTTTTTTTTTTTGCATGTACTAGTTTTATAATTTTAGTTCGTTCATGGAAACATGCAGGGTGACTAACTACTGGTGACTCATCCTCACATTATCCCTGTGTGCCTGTTGATATATTCTGCAAGGGCTTGGGAGGAACATCCCTAATGACACGTTTCCGAATGCCCTGTGTGGCTCTATCATCATCCATCAAGGTTCCCTTTATCATCTATCTGAAGCTATTTGGAGTGACCATCACCCCATGGGGAATTACTATCCACAAATCCCTTGTTATTTGAAAACAACATGTCTTGCATCAGTTGCAAACTGGACATAATTTTATCCACATCATCTTGATAAAGTTGATGAAGGTTGGTTTTGCTTCCTCTTCCTGTCTTGTGAGTCACTTATAGATTTTTCTGCCAGGCTAACCTCAATTGTCTCACGTGTACAACTGCAGCTTTCCTACTAATCAATTAATCCAGGCTGTAATTGACAGGCAAAAGGACTAGCCCTTGGGTTTTGCAACGTGATAGCAAGGCTTGATAATTACCATTTGTCTTTAGTTATCTTCAAGAGTAAAATTCCTTCGGTTGCAGGTCATGGGAGTAAACAGATAATTTCACCCAGAGACACAGTTTTCTTGAAACCCATCAACAAATGTGGTCTTTCTCTTCTCTCAGCTCCTCCTAGGCAAGAATGTTAAAACTGGTAGAGTGCTAAAAATATATTTCTTGATCTCCCCGACCCCTTTGTTGATATACATTTGAAGTTTTTTCTTCACACTGTACTTAATACATCCCAAATGCAGAAAGCTTATATTCATACATTGGCTTTCCTGTGTTTTAGAATTTGGCATATTCATAGTGAAAAATGACTGATTTGATAAATGTATATTTGCATAATACAATCTTGGACTTTTTTCCCTCCTCCTCTTTCTTTTCTTCATTCTTCAAATGTAAAACCCATTGAGGTTCATTAAAATAAATAAATAAATAAATAAATAAATAAGGCCAGGGCCTGAACCTAGCTCATGGCTCCGTGCTGTCATATTTGGTTAATTACTGTGAGGAAGCACTTGCAAACAAAAAAAGAATCCAACGAACATTCTGAATTTCCTTCCTATCTCTGTCACCATGTTCCACACAGCTACGTGCTCTTTCTGGGGCTGCAATCAGTTCATCTTTGCATTCTGCTCTTTAAAAGCAGTAAGGTACATTTCTGTGGGTCAAGGCATTCTTGTGAATCACCTCCATTCTTGTGAATCACCTCCAGCCCCTTAGGGCAGAGATCCATTGCAATATAATTGTACTTCCTTTTATCCTTAGTTATCTGCATTGTATTTGCCCAAGGTAAATATTTTCCCAGCAGTCAGCAGGTAATTAAAATTCTGAACCTTTTATGGCCCTGGATCCTTATCCATTTGAAAAATACTCACCTAGGTGGATGGTCCAGAGATGCAAAGGTATGTAGACCTGATGATCTGGATGCAGAGGAATCTGAGGACCTGGGAGCCAGGGGAGTGGGGGAGGCCCCCACCTACGGCAAAGAATCTCTTTTGGAATGGCCAGTCCCCCTGACCTGCCCTGGAATTTTTACAACCAGAGGCCCCTCCTTTGTGGCAGACAATGAAGGTGTGGTGTCTTTACAGTTTGTGTGCCCAACTGTGTGTTTTGGGGGGTAGGCAGAGTATTCTCATTAGTAGCAGTTTTTTTTTTTTTGGCTCTGGAGATCCCGGAATTGGGGATTCCACGACCTGTAGGGCAGGAGCTGGGGCCCGCACTCTGGAATCTGAGTGACGTGACCCAGACCTTGTGAAAGCAGGGGTTCAGAGATCGATGGAGGTTCTTAGGCTGCGGTTTCTCGCCTGGGACTTTAAAATCCAGGCAGGTGGAGGTCGAAGGTCAGCCCGCCAGCTCCCCGTGGTCCTCTCTGCCTTGGGGACCCTCTCTCGGGTGCTGGATTCTGGCAGACTGGCCTCTGGAACTGTCTGGGAGCGGAGCTATTTCAGAAAAGCTGACACGTCACTCACTGGCAGGGTTCAACCGGGCCACGACATTTGTGTGAATGCCTGCTTTTCCTCTAATTCCGACCTCAAAAAGCCTCAAAATCAATTTTAAAAACTCAGAGAGATGACCCAAGATC